ACACTATGTGTACAGGTTTATGTGTGTGTCCCCGTGCAGACACTATGTGTACAGGTTTATGTGTGTGTCCCCGTGCAGACACTATGTGTACAGGTTTATGTGTGTGTCACTGTGCAGACACTATGTGTACAGGTTTATGTGTGTGTCCCCGTGCAGACACTATGTGTACAGGTTTATGTGTGTGTCCCCGTGCAGACACTATGTGTACAGGTTTATGTGTGTGTCCCCGTGCAGACACTATGTGTACAGGTTTATGTGTGTGTCCCCGTGCAGACACTATGTGTACAGGTTTATGTGTGTGTCACTGTGCAGACACTATGTGTACAGGTTTATGTGTGTGTCCCCGTGCAGACACTATGTGTACAGGTTTATGTGTGTGTCCCCGTGCAGACACTATGTGTACAGGTTTATGTGTGTGTCACTGTGCAGACACTATGTGTACAGGTTTATGTGTGTGTCCCCGTGCAGACACTATGTGTACAGGTTTATGTGTGTGTCCCCGTGCAGACACTATGTGTACAGGTTTATGTGTGTGTCCCCGTGCAGACACTATGTGTACAGGTTTATGTGTGTGTCCCCGTGCAGACACTATGTGTACAGGTTTATGTGTGTGTCGCCGTGCAGACACTATGTGTACAGGTTTATGTGTGTGTCACTGTGCAGACACTATGTGTACAGGTTTATGTGTGTGTCACTGTGCACACTATGTGTACAGGTTTATGTGTGTGTCACTGTGCAGACACTATGTGTACAGGTTTATGTGTGTGTCCCTCTGCAGACACTATGTGTACAGGTTTATGTGTGTGTCCCCGTGCAGACACTATGTGTACAGGTTTATGTGTGTGTCACTGTGCAGACACTATGTGTACAGGTTTATGTGTGTGTCACTGTGCACACTATGTGTACAGGTTTATGTGTGTGTCACTGTGCAGACACTATGTGTACAGGTTTATGTGTGTGTCACTGTGCACACACTATGTGTACAGGTTTATGTGTGTGTCCCCGTGCAGACACTATGTGTACAGGTTTATGTGTGTGTCACTGTGCACACTATGTGTACAGGTTTATGTGTGTGTCCCCGTGCAGACACTATGTGTACAGGTTTATGTGTGTGTCCCCGTGCAGACACTATGTGTACAGGTTTATGTGTGTGTCCCCGTGCAGACACTATGTGTACAGGTTTATGTGTGTGTCACTGTGCACACTATGTGTACAGGTTTATGTGTATGTCACTGTGCAGACACTATGTGTACAGGTTTATGTGTGTGTCACTGTGCACACTATGTGTACAGGTTTATGTGTGTGTCCCCGTGCAGACACTATGTGTACAGGTTTATGTGTGTGTCCCCGTGCAGACACTATGTGTACAGGTTTATGTGTGTGTCCCCGTGCAGACACTATGTGTACAGGTTTATGTGTGTGTCACTGTGCACACTATGTGTACAGGTTTATGTGTGTGTCACTGTGCACACTATGTGTACAGGTTTATGTGTGTGTCCCCGTGCAGACACTATGTGTACAGGTTTATGTGTGTGTCACTGTGCAGACTCTACTCTATGTGGGGGGAGGCTTTCTGGCTGCAGGCCTCCATCGGGTCCCATACTGTAGTTCCAGAGGGGCAGCTGGCAGCCCGTAGCAGATTGTGACCACGCGCTTGGGTCACTCCGCAGCTGGCCTCTCCGTTGCTGTTTTTCCGTGAGGCTGCAGGGGGATCTTCCTGAAGTACCCTGGCTGCTGAGGTGGGGTCCGGGGGCTCCGCCAGCCTGGCCCACCCTTGCTCATCCCAGCTCCGCCTGCTGAGCTCAGCCCCTCATCCCCTCCCTGTGACAGCCGTGGCTCAGCTCAACGCCTTCGATCCTCCGTCCTTACCCCTGAAAGATCAGAAACGAGACCTTATCTCTTCTCGCCCCCCCTGAGTCCCCCTCGCTTCCCTTAGAACTTGGGTTCCTTTGCACGTCCTAGTAGCCTGCAGGAAACGTGGCTGGCCCACTTAATCTACTTATTGTTACCTCAGAGCATCGGTGTGTCCTTGGATGCTTCTGCCTTCTAACAGGAAAAAGAAAAGAAAAATCAAAACACCAATGGCTTGAGGGTGGCTGGGCAGTGCAGCTCTGGCTTAGCTCGTATAAGGCTGGGTCTTGATTGGCCGCCCGTCCGTCCCTTGGCTGTGACCAAAACAGCTGACTGAAGCAGCTTGAGGGAGGGAGACTTTCTCTTGGCTCATGGTTCAGGGACTATCGGCCTGTGGTGGCAGAAAAGGCTTGGCTCCAAGAACAGCTCTGGCTGTGGCCCAGGGAGAGTCTGGTGGTCAGGGTTTCCCTCATCTCCGAGGATCAGCAGACGGACTCAAGGCGGGGCCGGGCTACCTGAGGGCCCATGCCCAGTTAGCCTGTGTCCACCAGCCGGCCCCACAGCCTCCCAAAATACCCGCAGCAGCTAGCCAGCGGGTTTCCAGACAGTCACCGATAGCAGAGCGTGCCGATGTCCGGTGTAAAGAACACCAGGCCCGTTTTGGGAGTGGATTTCTGCATGGGTGGCTCTCCTCCCTGGAGTTCCTGCTTATGGGAATGTGGACTCATACACGTGGCTGGGAGACGCTTTAAGCTGAAACTGAGTCCTGCTTGCGTGTGAGCCGCTTCCACGGACCACGCCCTGCCCTGGAAGTTGCTTCTCTTCTCCACAGAAGCCAAGGATACAAGGAAGGTTTGTCCCAGGCACAGGTGCGAACCCACCCCAGGCTCCATCCTGGTGAAACATGTTTGCCTCCTGTATGTGCCAGTGGCATGGCTGTCCCTCTGCCTGTCCTATTCTGAAGCGAGACAACCCCAGTAGCGCCTGCGGTCATGGTCAGCTCACCTGTCTCCACCTCCGTGAACGTGGCCTTGTGGCCCCCTGACGTTTTGTTAAAGAGCCATATCTCCAAACGCTGAGGGAGCCCTGAAGCCCCACGGGTGACTTGGAGGCTTCCTGCGGAGAGGGAGCTGTTTCTGAGACTGTCTGTCCATGCGGGGATTTGTAGAGGGAGGTTGCCTTCCCCGGGTGGGTGGGAGAACTCCAGGGGTCCATGCCTAATTCAAGCCAGACTCAGCTCTCTGCCTTAGGTCTGACGGCTCCCATGCCCCATGCCTGCCATTGTGAATACGACACCAGCTAAGGAAGGAGTGGGTGTCCCGTCCCGTCCGACCCCCTCCCCCACAGCCCCTGAAACCCTTTGCCTTGAGGAAACATTTCACTCGTAAGACACCCAATTATCCTGGAAGGTTTGCAGGCAAGTCTGAAAGCCGATCGAATCTAGTGGAACCGTTTCTGCATAACAACTACTTAATACCCAATCATAACAATTATACATAATTTGTGTTTACAGTGCCTGGAAGATTAAACTCCTCCGCGCAGACGCTTTCCAAAACAGGCCTAGAGCGTGCAGGGCAGGCAGGGCTGCCACTCAGCGTGCCCACGGGCTGCCTTTGGTTGTCTGCAGATGGCGGTAGGCAGGGTACGACCACCTGGGTCTGCTTCTCAGCGCAGGGTTGAGCCGGGGCCCAGCAGGGATGCCGGAGCCTCTGGGATGGAGTGGAGACGGTTCCCCACCGCCGCCGCCCCCTTACCAGCTCCGTTCTGCAGAAGCCGGGCACGTTGTGTCCCCGATGCCGAGGCCGAAGGCATATGGGAGGGTGGGGCCGAGGCATTCTAAAGCTGTGGCCAGCGCAGCCTCCCTGGGGTTCATGCCGTTCAGCTTTCTTTCTTAAAGAGGAAAAAAAAAGATTTATTTTTGTCAGGCCCCTTTAACCCGGACACTCAGGAGGTAGCGGTAAAAAGATCTCTGTGAGTTAGACCAGCTGGAGCTTCATAGTGACATATTGTTAAGAAGGGGTGTGCACGTGATTTTTCTTTCTTTTAAGATCTGCTTACTCTTATCTCACGCATGAGTGTTGCGCCTGCCTGCCTGCCTGCCTGTGTGTATGTATGGCACATGCGTGCCTGGTGCCCGTGGAGGTCAGAAGGTGTTGGATCTGCTGAAGCAGCAGGCGGCTGGCTGTGAGCCTTCTGGCGTGGGTGATGGGAACCAAGCGGCCAGACAGAACCTGCCTGCCGAGCCGCCTCTCCAACCCTGGCTTCCTTTTGCGCGTTGCTCTCGTTTGGTTGCTTGTTTTGGTTTGGATTTTTGAAGACAGAATTTTGACAATGTATCCCAAGCTTATCCTGAGCTCAGCAGTCTTCCTGGGGTGATGGACGTGGACCTTCTGATGGGACTTCTCTGGCCCGCCCGTGTCTGAAGAGCCTCCTCCGGGTCTGCCCAGGGGACCCAGTGTGAGGAGATCGCACGCTGCCCTCTTCCGACATGCGTATTCTCATATGCTGAACCTTCTAGAAGGCTGGATCACCCCCCACGCTCCCCCACTCTCTCAGACTGTACAGTACTGTGGTGATAACCCCACTCTCCCCAGGATATCCCTGGGCACTGGGCCCATCTGTCCCGTCAGCCATTGCTGCCGGGCCTGCCTGCTTAAGGTGTGAGCATGTCCCTAAGGCCAGCTGGCTTACTGCTGTCTCAGGCAAAGACCTGCCCCTCCTTGCCTCTCTGGAGATCGCCCTGCCTCGCCCCCTTGCTCCGTCAGCATGGCACGGCGCTCCACTGGCCACCCCGGATGACTCTGGGTCTCGTCGCTCCTCGGCCAGGCAGCAGTTGCAGACTCACAAGGACGTTCCCTCCAGCCGCTATAGGATAGAACTGTGTCCCTCATCCCAGCCTGTCTCCCGAGGGTCAGGCTGTGGCGTTCTTTCTTCCCGCCTCCTGCCGTGCCCACCTTCTTCTCTGGCGATGCTCTGGCCTCCACGGGTCTGTGGCCCGCCGCTGGCCCTGCGCTCACTCCCACTGGGGAACTGCGAGCCTGCTCAGGGGTGTGGCAGCAGCGGGTCCGAGTGGGGGATCTGCACGGGAAGATGACGGAAGACCGTGTAGACGACTCCGGTAACACCCCACCCTGTGTGTGTCTCCACAGCCTGTTCCACCACTACTGTTACTCTCGGGGCGGCATGCGTCACACCTCTTACACCTGTATCTGCTGCAGGTAAGTTTTGGGCCTCGGGGGAGGAGAGGCAACATCCCCCCAACCCTCTGCCGCCAGCACCCCGTGCTCCGTCACATACGGGCGCAGGTAGCATGGGACAGACAGGCTAGCCTCGGGGTAGCTTGTAGCAAATAATGTGGATCGCCGTGCGCAGTGTGGGTAACACGTGGCCTGAGTCCTTTTATTATAAGAGCGTGTGTGCGTGGTTGGGGGGGCGGGTGTTGGGCTCTGTGTGGGTGTCTGCGGCACTGCACAGGGTGTGCCCCTGCAGACGCGCGTGGCAGAAGTAACCGTGGTTGTCGGGGCAGCCATTGGCCCTGCCTGCACTGATGTCGTCTCCAGGGGTGTGCTCAGCTGTGTGAGTGGCCGGTTGCCGGTGTCATTCTGAGTGTGACAGGATGGGCACATCGTAGCTGTGGGTGGCCTCCTGTGGCTAGGGCTGACCCAAGCCAGCCTCCCAAGCTCCATCCATCCCTGCAGCCTGGTCCCTGCCCAGCCTGGACAGAGGTGGGCGGCTCGCACTGATATGAGTGAGCGTCCTCACACGCACATGAATAATACATCTGAACATCTCTGTCCTTGGAAATGTTCTTCTCTGGCGGATAGAGGGAAAAGCCGTTATTTCTCCTTTTACGATTCCCGAGACTCTCAGAAGGAGCCATAAATATTACACCCAGGTGGGGTTTTCCCCTTTGGACAGACTTGCGAGTTCTTCCTAAAGGCGTTGCTTGCTGAGCAGCTCCATTGGCAGGGAACAAGGAGCCACTAGCTTCTGGTCTCCCTGGCCCTGGGTAGGACTCCTAAGAGGCTCCTGAGACTGGGACCCTTCCATCACCCTCCCTGGCCTTAGCGCTTCTCCGGGCCCGCCCCACAAGCCTCTGCTCTTTGCATATGCTGCCCGCATCCCCAGCCCGGGCGCAGCTGTCCGGCCCGGGGAGCTGCTTCCAGCTCTGTGGCAGGTGGGGACACCGTGTTCCTCTACTCCCGGCTGTGGGCCTGGCCCAGCCTCCAGGTCCTGCCGAGTGACAGTGGGATCTTAACCCCGCCCCCTGTGTCCTCTGCAGCGGCGAGAACGCAGCCGTCCTTCACTATGGCCATGCCGGGGCCCCCAATGACCGGACGATCAAGGATGGAGATATGTGGTAAGTGAGGCTGAGCCGTCGTCACCCCACGTCTGGGTCAGCCAAAGGCCCCTGGGCCCTTGTCCCAAGAGGGTTGGCTACAGCAAAGCCCTGGGCCCGCTTTCAGCCCGGACTTTCTCTGCTATAGCTCTTAGCCTGCATGCTACCTTCCCCCAGGCCTGAGGCCTGCCGCCTACAAGCGAACACCACGAGACAGAGCGCCAGCAAGAGTCCCCGTGGTTTCCTGTGGAGCTGGGAAGGGGCTGGGGGGCCGGGTGCTTACTTTTTTACTATCTTCAGCTCCGCCATGGTAGAGCAAGGGCAGGTGGAACATGCCAGACTGCCACCCTTGGCTTTGAGGAAGCTGCACTCACAGACACAACTCCCTCAGGCACTCTGCCGTTCCCACCTGACACTGACCAGGGCAGGCTCAAGCCATGCTGGGCTCCTAAGAGCCACCCTGAGGTCTGGAGCTTGATCGCACGCCACGCAGAGGCACGCTCCTTGGCCTTCAGGTGGATTGTTCTGTGGGCATCAGTCGACCTAAAGGGTCCCTGTCCTGCCTGGCTCTTAGATGTCTGTTTGGTTGGTTAGAGGGTCTAGCTAGAACTGGCCAAGAACTGAGAGCAGTCCTCCTGCCTCCGCCTCCCAGGTGCTGGGATTACAGGCGTGCACCGCCAATGCCTGGCTGGTTCTTAGCTGCTGCTGGGTGTGTTGTTCAAAGCTGGGCTCCTCGGCAGTGCCGCGGCGATGCCCGGCTGAACCGTCAGGTCCCTTCTCAGCCAGCGCCGCACTCATCCCCGGGCTTGCGGTCTTGTGGTGGCTGCTCACTGGGTGGCTCGGACCCTGCCGTGGGGAGGGGAACCCTGCTCCACAGAGCTCCCACCCGGTGTCTACTGAGGGGGAGCGCGCGCGCGCACACACACACGCACGCACACACGGACGGACGGACGGACGGACGGACGGACGGACGGACAGATACCGAGCTGCTGCGAAACACACCACGCTTTGGGTAGTCTCTGCCGAGTACAAGACAGCCACTCGCCCCCACGGCCCACACAGGCGCATGGCTGCCAGTGTGCCCACCGGGGTCAGCTAACTGGGTGAGACGTTCTGGTTCAAGCCACCCGTCTGTCTGCAAGGAAGGCTTCTTCTCTCTGCCTCAGTTTACCCATCTGTGAGTGGAGAAAGCATACACCTCTCAGGACTCCCCATGATAATGGCAGCGAGAGCGTATAAGGAATGGAGCGGCTGAAAATGGCCTCTCCCTGGGGCCCAATGACAGGCCAGGTGGGAGCCAGCAAGAGTTGAGGCCGTTGCCCCTCCATCCCCTCCATGACTACAAGGGGCCCCGGCCAGTGCCAGGCAGCCTGAAGGTTGCTCAGAGCCCCTGGAACCCCGGGCCTGTGTCTAGGCCTTAGAGCCCTGGGAGCCTCTGGGCTCAGCTGGGCCCTGGCTGAGGTTCAGCAGGGTGCTGGGATCTTTTTTTTTTTTTTTTTTTTTTTTTTTTGGTTTTTCGAGACAGGGTTTCTCTGTGGCTTTGGAGGCTGTCCTGGAACGCGCTCTTGTAGACCAGGCTGGCCTCGAACTCACAGAGATCCGCCTGCCTCTGCCTCCCGAGTACTGGGATTAAAGGCGTGCGCCACCAACGCCCGGCTGGGTGCTGGGATCTTAAGAGGTGCCACCGGACTGGGGGGACGGGGGGGGGGGTGGCTGCCTCAGCCTTGGCTCAGCTGGAGACGAGGAGGGGGAGAACAGGCCCTCCCTCCCCTCTAGGCCATGGGGGAGCCCGTGGCAGCAGGAGAGGCCACCTGGTCTCTTCAGGCACTTTGATGGCCCAAGCTTACCCCTCCTGGACCTCCTCTCCCCCTCACCCACACTTCCTGGCACTCCCTCCTACCTAGGCCCTCAAGCGTGTTCAGCAGACACTAGCACTGAACCATCCCCAGCCCGGCCCTCCTTCCCCTTGTCATCTGGAGACAGAGTCTCCTAAGGTTTCCAGGCAGGACTGAAGTTTCCTCCTCCCTCCCGCCTCAGCCTCCAAGGAGCCGACACTTCGGTCCGCACCACAAGGTCTCACTGCCTGAGTGCTTTTCTGATAATCTTCGGCTCTGGTCTGTTCTGGTTAGGACTGGAGGGCAGGACACTGGACCCCGATCCCAGGGCAGAGGCTGAGGCCAGCCACATGAGCGGGTCCCTGCCATCCTGGGAGAGCTCTGACTGGTTGGAGCCCCGTTGGCCGTGAGTCTGACTTTTCTTGAGTTCAGCACACAGCAGAGAAAGCAGCTACTTCCCCACTGTCAACTTCATCCGTCTACAAGGGGGTTCTTGCCCTGTGGGAAGGCCAGCACTGCCTGCATTCCTGGGGATCCCAGAGACGGGGAGGGGCCAGCTAGGATGCTTGTGTCCCTCAGGCCTCTCTATGTCCCAGCTGCTGTGACCGCAGCCCGCACGGGCAGCGTGCGGCACCTATCTCTGCGCACAGCTGTGACCGGGAGTGGGGCCGAGGAGCCCACGCTGTTCGTGTCCAACTCAAATTGGTGATTTTGTTTTTCTAGTGCTAACTTTGAAATGTAGCCAGTGGAGTCATTATGAGTTTATTATAGTCAATTTATTATGCAGCATTTAGAACATGTTTTGTTGATTACCGCTACTGCCAGATTGCTGGCGGCATTTATAATCCATTGTTTTATTGAAATTGATCTGCCAAGCACCTAGTGCGTTCGGTAAATAATAAATCACACTGTTATCCCAACATAAAGCCACAGCCCTTCATCATAAGGTAGGGGACCAGAACATGCGTATAGAGTGGCGTCTGTCCCAAAGCTGAGTGCCTCCTGGGACAGAACATGTGTTCCAGGCATTGAGCACAGGGCTGGGCTCTGGGCCCTACCTAGCTTTTGACATGAAAGATACTTTAACAGCAATAGGACCGTTTGGGGAGTCAGAGCTAGTCCAGAACAGTGAGGAGAGGAGGTGCCCCCTCAGTCTCTTCCAGGAGTGAGTACGCCCACACCTCACAGCATACACCCACACACGTGTCCTAGGAGCCATGTTGTATGATCCTGAGCACAGAGGCTCCCCTCTCCCACTTCAGTTTCCAATCCATCTATGGGGTCCAAGGAGTCGGGAGCTGGTGAATGCAGAGTCAGGGAGGCTGGACATCTCCCTGCAAACAGTTAAACTGGGGTCCCACCCTGTAGCCCAGGCTGGCCTGGGTGTATAGCAGTGCCCGTGCCTCCCAAGTGCTCAGAGGGCAGGCACGCACCACCGTTGCCTGCTCGAGTTAACCTTGGGCGGGGCTGAAAGTCAGGCTAAGGCCACTTCCAGCCGCTGTGGGCCGCAGTCCTCACCCATGAGGTCCAGCCGTCGCCCAGCCTGGTCTGTGCTGCAGGCTATCCCACATCCCAGCCAGGGGCTCCCAGGTCCCTTCCTGTTTCTCCGGGCCAGATCCCACACCCAGCTGCTCTGTGTGGATCCTAGGGAAGGAGTGGAGACGTGTGTGGCTTCAGATGTCTGTCTCGGGGCAGAGCCATGAGGCCTGTAGGGGCCTGCGGCTGTTGAGCCTCTTGGAGTTTTCCCGTTGGCTCCCAGAGCGCCTTCTGGCTGTGTCCCTGGAGTCCCCTGAACCCGCTGGTCAGGTCACTGTCCTCCAGGAAGCATACCGATAAAGGCTATCGCTGGGCCAGCAGGAAAAGCAGCATCCATGCCTAAGTCCACGGGAAAGCGGGGGCATCCCAAGTTGTGTCATCCTTGTGCAAGGCTCTCCGGCCGAGCTGCGGAGTTCTCTGCTCCTCCTTACTCCTGTGCAAGTTCACTCCACACAGCAGAGGACCTGTCCTCAGTGGGGCGCCCCTCCTCAGCGGGGTGCCGTGGCTCCTCTCCAAACCTGTTAGAGCACACAGGTCTAGTGCTCCAGGTCTGGGTCTTCCAAGGGCAGGTGGTGGCTGACTTTCCAGCACTGGCCACAAGAGGGCAGTGTAGCCTCAGGACTCGACCAGGCAGGCCTTTCGTCTGGGTTGTGGGTCTGCTGCGCTGCCCTGGGGTGCGGCTAGGGACCAGCCAGTCCTGGCCTTGCACTTAGCGGCCGGCCAGTGCCCCCTCCCTCTCCGTCCCTGTCTCATCTGTCCTCCTGCTCTGATAATGGCCATGTCAGGAAGGTCATCAAACCCCAGAGCAGCGAAGGTGGTTTCATCGCAGAACAGTACTTAAAGTTACCTACAGCTGTGCTGCTGTCCCTCTGTGTCACAGCTGGAGCCTGGGTGGCAGCCGAGCTGTCTTACAAAGCCGGTCGCCATCACAGGCGTGCCTATCCTCACCCCCCTACCCCACCCCACCCCCACCCCCGGGCTGCAGCTACCAAGGACTTTAGCAGATCCCACGGTGGGATGGTTGTGCCTGTCCCGGTTGGTTGGCTATCTGCCAGCCGTGGGCCCAGGCGGGGAGAGTCTGTGCCCGAGGCTCTTCCCCTGCTGCAGAAGGCTTGGGGTGGGGGGGTGGCTCCAAGTTCCTTGTCACCTGTGCCTAGTATTCCAATAGGCTTGCGAGAACGGCACCCACGGCCAGCTCCCTGCTGCCAGGCTCAACTCACCCCTTCCCCGACCTTGCTGTTTCTGAAGGGAAGCTTGGTGACCACTAGAGGGCCCCACCAAGAGCGTTTCGTAGTGGAAGGGAGGCCAGCCTTAGGGGCAGGGGAGCTCCCCTTGCAAACACGGCCAGCTAGCTAGCTGTCTGCGCAGGTGAGTCGGCCGGGACCTCCAATGTCCCACCGCAGAAGACCGTTAGACTTCTGACCAGGGCTCGTATTTGCAGCCGTGCCTCCTGGCCCTAGGCAGATGCCCCCCTCTTCACGTGACCTCTGCCCCTTCTGTTTAGTTTGTCACCGATCTGTGGCCACACCCACTCCGTTGACGTCACCACCCGTGGTCTAAACAGCCCTGGTCTAGACAGCCCGGGTGCTCACAGACATCACAAGACTCTAGTCGCCAAAAGCGTGAAATGAAGCATGTGCCGTCTGCGTGATGGTGACGGCTGGCCTCCGCCCACCCACAGCAGCTGCTGCCCTGGGGCCCAGCCCTGGGCCCACAAGGCTGAGGCTTGGTCCAGGCCATGGTACGGTGCCCCTCTCGAGGGCCTGGCCTGGCATTAGTGCCCTGCACCTCTGTGACATCTCTGTGCCTCTGTGCCAGTTCTCTGCAGACGTAGGACCCCAGCATAGAATTGCTCTCATTAGAGAGCACACCAGGGATTTGTCGATCTGGGCCTTGGGGGTAGGGGACCTGCTGCTGGCATGGGGCGTCCCTGCCTACTCAGATCCTGAGGAGCAGCTGACCCAGGGCGTCTGTAGGAAGAGCGTCACCCCATGGGTCCACCCGTAACGTGAGTGAGCACTGAGGACAAATAGCTCCTATGCTGCCGGCCGTCCCTGAGGGCTGCCGTGCTCAGAGGCCTTGTGGGAGAGGCAGGGAGCTGACCCGAGACCTGAGGCCAGCCTGGGAGAGCATGCAGCGCTGCGGAGACAAGGTGACCAGCCGCCGTCCAGTGCCATCCCTGCTGAGGCCTGGGGCGGATGAGCATTTTCAGCCGTTCAGAACCCGTCTCTCTCCCGCCCTCCCTCCAGCCTGGCGTGCACACAGGAGAGTCTGTACCGAGCAAGGCATGCTTAGCACACGTGCACGGGAAGATGTCAGTCTTGGGTGAGAAGCGGCCAAGCGTGTGTTGCATACGCAGATTAAAACGAAGTTACAAGCCCAAGTACAAAGTGGCCCTTGTATAAACATTGCAGCATTTCCCTTGGAGGCCTCCTGCCTGTGGGCTGGCTTGTCCCTGCGCAGAGCCTAAGGGAGTTAAGCAGGGCCTGGAGAGGGTCTGGGTGGGCCAGTGGTGGCAGGTAGCCCAGGCCTTGGCGCTGCACCATGAAGAGCCAGAGGAAGACAGAGCGTTCATCCCAGCCAGAAGCGCGGCCACAGGAACACATGTGGGGAGTAGACGCCAGCACATTGCTTGGAGACATGTCGTCTCCCAGATGTCTCAGATTATCACACAGACCCACTCGGCTGGTGATGGAGGTGTCCCTGGTGGATGTCCCCTACACAGCCAGGAAGGGGAGATCTTGCATTCTCAACAGAGCCAAGAGTGACGGAATCCTCCGTCGTAGTTGTGCATGGAAAGGGTAGGGTAGGCCCAGTAGACGGAGAACTGGAGGAGTGATTTATAAAAATGACGGCTTTCATCCCTGGCTTCCAAATGGCTTGAATCGGAACCATTTATGCATGGAAAAGCACTGAGGGAGGATTTAAAAACAATAAGCAACAACAGAAAAAAAAAAGAGAGAGAGAGAGGCAGAAAATATGGGGAACCGAGAACACAAAAATAGACTGAGCCCATGCCCGAGCGTCGCCGGGCAGGACGGAGCTGGCTGGCGGGGGGGTACACTTCCTTCTCCAGAAAGCGGATGATTTTAACAAAAAAAGAAAAAGCTGAAGGCTTTAGAAGCTGGAGGAGAGAGAGCCTGGCTGGCTGAGGAAATCAGCGCGCCCATCGTGCCGTCTCTGTTAGGAGGGAAGTTTAGAGCACTTGGTTCAGGCTGATGTGCCCCCCGAAGAAACTTGTCTTGCCCCGTTCTAGATGATTCTAGCATTCCGAGTCATCGTGTGAGCTTCCTGGTTTTTAAAAATAGCTCGCGTCTGTTTTTCCTTTAGACGCGCGTTAGTAGGGTCTCCTTCCTCAGAGCGACTGCCGGCCACCCTTCCTGCGGCACCTCCCAGGGACGAGTGTCCCCTGCCCGTCTGCCCAGGCCACTTATTTTCAAAGGTCCCAACCCACCAAACCACGAAGCCTGGATTCCCCCTGCAGGGTGCAGGAAGCCCCGGATGAAAGCGGTCTTCCCGCAGCCCTGTCCCAGCCTCCAGAAAGCTTTCCCGCCCGCAGCTTGCTGCGAGGGCCTCCTGCCCGTCTTAAAGGTGGGAAAGTGAGGCCCCGAAGGCTGAGTGGCAGCGGCAAGACGGGGTGACTGCAGCTGAGGGCTCCCCTGGGCCTCAGTTCACAGCCTCAGTTTCCCTGCCATCTGGGCCTTCTCCGTGCCCCGCCCTCTAGACACACCCTACACAGGAGCGAACCTCCAGGCAGTTTCTGGCAGCCCGGGGAGCAGATGCCTGGGTGTGTCTCTGGAGGGCCTCTCTGTCACCGTCCTCTTGTAACTAAGCTGGGTGGGTCTTCCTGAAGTGAAGCCCTGCTCCCTTGAGTCTGCTCCACGTAGGGTCCCCAGAGACTTTGACCCAAGCTGAAGTTCCCTGTCATGCTGCGGGGGTTGGGGGGGTTTGCCTCTGCCCACCCCCTAGGAGTCACCTGAGATGTTATCTGTGCTTTGCCTTCCGTTCCGTTGACCCCATTTATGGTGTTTTGCAACCAGGAGAGTCGGGAGATTAAAAAGTGCCTGACCGAGGACTTTGGATTCCGGCGTGCTGTCCGGGCGTCCCGAGCGCTGGAGATTTTCCTCTCTACAGTCAGCTGCCATTCGGTAGCTGGTACTGCTTGGCAAGCCATGTGGCCAGAACCCATGCTCGACATGCAGGGCGGGGGGGGGGGGGGGTCCGCCCTGTCCCCAACCCCCTCTCAACACTAGCACACAGGCAACTTCTGGAATGTCTGTGGTTGCCGTTAGAGTAGGATTTGGGTGAGAGGCTCTCATAAAGGAAGCCACAGATATGCCCTGGGCTCCAACTGGCCGGCATGTGTCTGGCTGCAGATGGACATGGTGTCCTGGACATGGCCTCCCCCACCCCCTACCCCCTCACCCCCCACCACACTAAGCAGAGCTAGCCTCCATTGGTGCAGAAAGGCTGGACCCTGACCTCTCAGCCAGGCTGATTAGAGTTAATGTCATGACCCCAGGAATAGGCCCTCTCTCTGCGTCTGCTGCAGGACCCTCCTGGGGATGCTAAAATGACGTTCTGGGGTGACTGATCCACGTCCTAAAAGCCAGGCCAGGACCCACGAGCCTCCTCCTTGCTCCATCCCAGATGGTGCACAGGGCAGAATTCTTGTCTGTCCCCATTGTTGGGTCCCGTGGCCGGTTATGTGACTCTGCTCTACCGGGAGCCATGACAGAGTATCCAGAGGGGTAGCTCCATGGTTCTGACTCAGCAGGCCTGGCCGCCCTCCACCATTGTCCGGCCTCCACTGGCTCAAGACTCCTCCGAGTCCTCTCCACCACCTCAGCCTGCACAGCCACCCGCCTGTGGCCTCGGTCAGTCCCCAGGAAGGCCCTGCTAAACAGGCTGCTCGCACTCTGGCGTTTCCTCTTTATCCCTCTCAAGCGCTGGCGAGGCATGTCTGCCTACCTGAGCAGATGACACCTCAGGTGCCCGCCACTTGCTGGTTCCTCCCAGGCGCCGTGGGCCCCGTCAGAAAGGCTTGGTGCAACTCAACCCACTGGGCAAACATGTCCTAGGTGCAGACAAGGTGGGCGTAGGGAGTCTCCTGGCAGGCTCACATGGGCGGCAGCTGGCATGCGGGCGTCTGGAGACCTAGGCATCCTCCCATGGTCTCTCCCACTGTTCTGAACAGGTCCCCACACCAAGGCTGCCAGCGCCAGGCTTCCTTAGCCTTCCCTGGACAGACTGAGCCAGCCCTCCCTCCCTCCCTTTCTGTGGTTCTGGAGGCTGACCCTCAGGTGTGCAGGCTCGTGTGAGCTACTAAGTGACATCTCCAGCGCTCTTTCCACTCTTTTTTTTTTTTTTCTGAGACCAGGCTGGCCCAGACAGATCTTGAAGATTTTTTTTTTTCTTCCTGGAACTCACTTTGAGATCTGCCTGCTTCTACCTCTGAGTGCTGGGGATAAAAGTGTGCTCCACCACTGCCCAGCTTGGTCTTAAGTTTCAGTCCTGTCTCCACCTCCCAAGTTGCTCAGGTGACAGGCCGGCACACACACACACACACACACACACACACACACACACACACACACACACACACACACACACGCCGGTCTGTCCCTGCATGGCTCCCTTCTTTTGGAAAGGAACCTGCTGCACCAGCCACATCTCCTGAGGAGGTGGGCCTCGGGCCCCCTGCCGCAGCCCCAGGGGCGTGGGGTACGCAGCTCTGAGTGGCCGCCCGCCTGCCCGTCTCATGACTCCCTGTCCCCACAGCCTGTTTGACATGGGCGGAGAGTACTACTGCTTCGCGTCCGACATTACCTGCTCCTTCCCTGCCAATGGCAAGTTCACAGAGGACCAGAAGGAAATCTACGAGGCCGTCCTGAAGAGCTGCAGGGCTGTGATGAGCACAATGAAGCCAGGTGAGGGAGGGACGGACGGACGGACGGACGGACGGGAGAGCAGGGGCGTGCTGGTGGCCTGCCCGGTAGCGAGCGGGGGTGGGGTGTCGGACACTGAGAGGAAGCAGTCCCTGAAGTCTGTCTACATCTGCTGCACGTGCTTGGCCAGTTAGAGTCCAGGTGCCAGGAGCCCCCCCCCCCGCCTCTGTCCCCTGAGGACACAGGGCTGACCGTGTCAGCCACAGAGCTGGATCTGCAAGGTCCCTTGGGTCCCCATGTCCCATCCAGCCCCATCTCCCTGCACATCCCTCCGCACACATTGGTCACCGGGACATCGACCAAAACAGAGTCAGTCCACTTGAGGAAGGTCCAGGACAGCTTTGCACACTGGCATGTAGTTGGACCGCAGAGCAAGCTCTGACTTCACGCAGAGCTTGAGTCATGAAGCTCCCCCTCGGGGTTGTTTTCTGTGTGTGCTTGGGGAGGCAGCAGGAGGAGCTAGGCTGCATGGCAGAAAGCCCCCGAGACTGCCAAGCCATGAGTTAGTCACCTGGTCACTGTCCTGCTGCCGTGGCGGGAGTGAACCTGGTGTCCTCTCTGCAGCCAGCTGCCCCGGCTCCACTGTATGGACGCTGCCTGGGTGGGTCTTCCCCACGCACCTCCGTACGACCTGTAGAGCCCCCAGAAACTGCCCCTCAGCGCCCCACTGCATGGCGGTTCCCTACAGGGCAAACAGCGAGAGCCTTTCTTCTGGGACCTACAGGCCCTCCTGTTCCTAGGTCAGCCACTGGCCATGCTTCCCGATGAGGCCACCCTCCTCCCTGGCCGCGGCACTGAGCCACAGCCCTGGCTAGTAGCATCAGGGAGCCCCGCCTTGTACAGGCACCTCTGCCTACAGGGGGGCAAAGTCTGTCTGCTGCGGCCAGGCTCCATCTGGCCATGGGGAAGCTCTCCCTGACCGTCGCTCACCTGGTGATCAGTCACACCCCCCCTGCCACAGGCGTCCCCCTGAGGCCTCTGTACCTTCATTTGTAAGCAGCAGAGTCCTCGCCAGCGGGCTTAGGTGGTTGGGTGGTCACAGGCGCAGAGACACAGAGTAGCCTGCCCCGGCCGTGCGGATCCCAGCCTTCTTCAACATGAAACCCCCAGAAGGGCTGAAGGCGAGATCTTGTGATGCTAGCTCTGAGGGTTGACCTACCCCAAACCCCGTTTCTCTGTGTCCCCCCACCTCCCTCATCCTAAAGAAGCAGCTGACCCTAGGGCAGCCCAGACCTTCCCTAGAACCCAAATGTCTCCCTACACCATGTGGGGACCACTATACAGGAGGCAGCAGCACAGTGTCCAAAGCATCCAGAATGCGGGCCCCGCGCCCTGCCCAGCAGCGTGCTGGTTTTAAGCCTGGCTCTAGTCTGCAGTTTCCTTGTTCCCCAGCTGGCCCAGGTAGCTCCCCAACTCCCAGAGTCCATTCTAGGGCAGCTCAGCCGGCTCTGGTCCATGGGGTCCACACATCCACACTCAAGGGACAGGAAGCCGACAGCAGCCTCCCTACTCTTCTGTGATCTGGAAGTGGAGACTAGAAGCTTCGGGGCCTGGGTGGGTCATGCAGGCCTGAAAACTGGATTTCTGAAGTATTTCTAAAGAGTCTGGTGGCCAGATTTGCACATCTCCATGGTTCCTTGATTAAGAAAAAAAAAAGAAAAGAAAACAGATGATCTTGGTCTCCAGAACTGTGAAAGCCCCAGGATGTGGCGTGCTACGGCCCCAGAACTTGCTGGTTCAGCGTTTGGATAAATAGTCCCCTGTGGCCCCGTGGCCCATTGTTGGAATGATTTACATTGTGACCTCGGGGCCCTGTTTAGTCGTGGAGGGACCTCGACATTGGTCATGTTCGGAAGCGGCATTGGTCATGTTTGGAAGTGGCATGTTGGGAACAGCCCCGGTCTAGCTCTGGGAGCTCCCTGCTATCAAAGGCCAGGAGCTGCAGGCAGGTGTAGCATGCTGGAGCCAGGGCTCAACCCTACAGCCGGGTACCCTCACCCAGCATGCAGGACCAGAGCTTGACAGATGGATGAGTCCAAAGACAGGAAGTCCGCTTGCCCGGGAGGAAGAGCAGGGAACAGCTGAGAAAGCAGGAGTGCCTCTGAGCATTAGACAAGGCACGAGGAAGTCAGACCCACATGGGACAGTGTGGCCCTCCCGTCCCTTGGAATCAGAGGACAGTGTGGGAACCTGGACTCTCGGGTCTGAGGGAGCCACTGGGAGCAGGGGCTGGAGAGGATGTTCTCTGTGCCCCCTTTAAAACTGAGTCAGCAGAGCAACCACCCAAGGGGCAGTCTCCTGTCCCCACCACCGGCAAGCGGTCTTGCTCATTTTGAACATTGTCATTTCATTGATCGATATTTCAAAGTGTGTAGCCAGCCCTTGCTGAGAAGGTGGGGGGGTTGAGTGTCGTCTCCCATGATGTGTACTGACGCCCCGCCAGGAAACTGGGCCTTCTTCCCCATGAGGACTCTCCACTGGGCAAAGTCCCTGCCATCTGGCGTCTGTGATGCGGACCTCAAGCCACTCTCTGCAGACAGCCGTGTCGTTGTGTGGGTTGAGCTGGCGGTGACCCTCGGGGCGGTATCTTCAGACCTCTCCAGGCCGCAGTGGAACGCAGGTGTCCCCACTGCTGGTGGCCGAGCCTGCCGCGTAAGGACCCCAAGGCCAGCCTCAACCCAGCCGCCCTCATGCATCACGATGATGAAGCCGCAGTAGTCATCATGGGAACGTGAAGTGAGCCCCGCGGACTCCCGCCCCCCACCTCCACACAAGACAGACAGACCTGGGATTCCCTGCCACGTGCCATGGTGCGGACTGGCGGAGGGGCCAGGCCTCCGAGAGCCATGGGTGCCAGCCAGGCAAATCGGAGAGGACACCCTGCTTGTCAACGCGCCAGTGTCTCTCCGTCTGCTCACCTGGGAGCACCAAGCCTCCATTCTTCCGAGCTACCTGCGGCTTGGCCGCTGCAGGGGACTGGACATTACCACCACAGTTAGCAGCCTGGCCAACACAGTAGGCCCCCGCAGCCCAGGCTTACGGAACTGCTCCCCACTCTGCGCTCAGGGGGGCCTTAGGTTGGATGTCCACAGTTATCCGGTCACCTTTCCTAGCCGGGTGGGCTACTCGGGACACCACTGGGCCAGCACATCCAGGCCCAGTTGCTCCGAGCCCGCCCCTGCAGACCACAAGAGGTGGGGCCTCTCTAAAGTCGCGCACTCTTGGCGATGCTGGACTCACCAGCTAGCCTAGGTGAGTCCATGCTGGTGACTTGAAGACTCCTTGTGGGAGGGTGGAACGGAGCTCCGGCTGCTTCCCGTAGATTATGACACCGAATGTCCACTAGGCCAGAGCGAAACTCCCATCTGGTCCCCCCGTGTACATTGGCCTCCAGGGTCCACAGAGCGCTGCTCAGCAGATGGGGACAGAATCGCCCCACCACAGTGGTGAATTTGGCAGTGGCTAGCCAGCCCCCTGCCCATCTCAGCGGAATTGCCCCTGGTTTGTGGGTTCAGCGTCTGAGCCAAGACAAACGCCCTGCTGAGACTGCCCGGCTGCTTCCTGAGACCTTCCAGGGAAGAGTAAATAAAGACAGACAGGAAATCACACCACGACGACGCCCAGGGGAAAGGCAGGAACCAGAATGATCAGAACACACATGGACCAGCAGCTGCAGCCCCGGGGGATTGAAGAATGCAGGCCTTGGCTCCTCTGTCCTGGGCCAAGAGGAGGAGGAGCAGCCTCTGTCACTCAGAGAGCCAGGGAGGTCACGGGAGAGTCTGCAGGAGTGTGGGCAGGCCGCGCTGCCCACCAGTGCTGGCCACTGGCTGGGTGGAGTCCAAGTTCCGAGGGGCTTTGGTGGCTTCAGGGCTGTACGGACTGCCAGCTTTGGGGACTAAAGGCGTGCGCCACCACACCTAGCTGGGTCTCAAACTTTCAGTGCTGCCAGGCCTCATTGGTTCCGTCACCTTCTGGGACCCACCATCTCAATTTACCCTGCCCAGCCACCCTCTCTCTGCTCGAGACACCTGCCTGGAGATGCTGTTGGCGATGGTTGCTATGGTCCTAACTGTGTGACCCAGCCCTGGCCCTCCAGCACTCCTGGCTCTGGTCCTGGCTCAGGCTCCTGCCATTTGGGGGGTGGGGGTGGGGGGTTGCGTGTTGGGGCAGAGGTAGGGTAGCAGCATAAAGCCAGAGGGGCTGGCTGCCACTGACCAGCAGTCCTCCTGCTCCCAGAGCGAGCCAGAGGGGAACGTAAGGTGATGGCCAGGTGGGGTAGGGAAGGGCACAGGGCAGTGTCCCCAAGAGCAGACTCCGTGTCTTCTGTTGACCTGGGTGTGGGGAGGGGCTCACCTCGCCCGGCTCCCTGCTGCCCTGACAGGCAGTTGGGGGGGGGTGGAGTGGTTAGATTTCTGATTGGCCCTTGTCAGTGATGGCGAGGAATACGGGGGTTGCGCCACTAGTGGTACAGGGACCTCCCGTAACCCTGCATGCCCTTTGCCAGGCCTGGGAGAGCTATCCCGGGGCCCAGTGTCCCTGCTCTCTCCGCCTAGCTCCGAGCATTTGCGTGGATGCTCCCAGAGTGTGGAGGAGAGCGGAGCTTCAGGAAGTTTGCATGCGATGGCTCCGCCCACCCCGCCTCCTCAGCAGCCTCAAGGCGCCTGCTGCCTGGACACACGCTGCTTCCTGCCCCTCCGAAGGGTGAATGAGTCCCCGGGGTCCCCAAGTAGACGCTGCAGGGTGGGCTGGGCTGGAGGCCCCAGGCCTGGTGCCAGCTTGGCCTGCCACGCAGCTAGCTCGCCCCGAGACCTGGACTTTGTGCCTTTGCTCCCACACCCCACGGGCCTGGCTCCCACATCAACCATCCCGTGAGGGCCATTGTCCGCACATGAAGTGAGCTCTTTGTCTGACCAAGTAGCCCGGGGGGGGGGGGGGGTGAGGGGGACCCGCTGCCTCCCTGGCTTGGCTGGGGAGCCCCCCAGGGCTGTCACACTCTGGGCAGGAAGCCTGGGGTTCTGATGGATGCCACTGCTGCAGCTCTCAGAGGCCTCCCTGGCTCCAGCAGCAGCAGGCTCCAGGCCCGCTGAGTGCCGGTAAGGGAGGCCAGGTGGAGCAGGGGCCTGCAGAAAGCCAGCCTGGAGCCTGGGCACGGGAAGCGTCACCTCTCTGAGCTCTGGGGAAGCCGTCCCACCCTGGGCTCTGAACTCAGAGTGGGGTGCAGGTCACGCATGAATCCCGGACTGTGTGTTTCCAGTACTGGCTGCAGACTAGCCACGGGGAAGGCCAGAACCCCGCCCCCTCAGGCCCCGGCTATGCTGCTCTGCTGTGCCGTCACGAATTGGCTCTGCTAGACCAAGAAGGCACAATCAGAGAAGATTCCCCCGGAGAAAGTCTCTCAGAGGCCCAAGATGAGGAGCAGCAGGGGCTTGGAGAGGCATCTTGGCCACGGGGCACTGCAGGGAGATGGACATGGCTTGTCAACTGTCACCCTGGTCCTGGCTGCTCCCCCAGGGGTGGGGAGTAAGGTGTCACTGCCCACCAGTCTCCCCGATGCCTCTGAGCAGTGCCCAGGGTTTCTATTGAGGGGGGTGGGTGGGGATCCAGGGATAATGCTGTTTCCACAGGGTGGAATTTAGCGACGTGAATGGCATGAGGGGGGGAGAGCAACATTCACCCCATCCACACGGGTACTTTAGTGTCTAGTGGGGTGCCCAGGCTCAGCCTTGCCAGACGACGGCGCCCTTCACACACCTGCCGAGGCCGAGGGAGTCACTGTCACAGCCTAACCACACACGGGCAGAAAGAAAGTCCCCACGTACAGCCAAGAACTGTGCCTTGCACCTGAGGGTGTTCAAGCAAAGAAGATGGGGCACCAGGGGTACGAGGGCCATTTGGCTGGGTGCCAGCAGCCTCCCAGGAACCACCATGAGGCTTGGGGGGCCCACCTGACCTGACACCCCCTCTCAGTGGAGGCTCAGCCATGCCAGGAGGTTGGAGCCAGCCACTCGTGGGGCTCGCCTTTGGTGACGAAAGGAGGACCCCATTCAGGGCAAACCTCGTCTAGGTTCCCTTTGCTGCCGGGCTGACTGGAGGCTGAGTGGGCACAGCTGTTTGGACACTTGTAGGCCCAGAACTCGGAGCACTGAACCTGGGGAGCACACGCTGTGCCAAGCCAAGTCTTGGGGTGTCATGGGGGACACCGCTATCCTGGTGGAGAGACATGTGTCCAGGAGTGTACCAGGAGTGGCAGTGGGGGTGGGGGACGTGAGGAGGGGGGCAGCTTAACCAAGGCCAGGCCCAGGTGAACATGGGAAGACCTTGTGTGCTTCTAGAGCACACAACCTGGTCTTTGGAGAAAGACCAGGCCTGGCAGTGGTGGAGGAGGACGGAACTGTCCAGGCCTGGCCACGTGGGTCTCGGGGAAGAGCAGCAGCCAGAGGTGGGGCTGACTTGACCCACACAACCAGAGCGCTGAAACCAGGCTCTGGCTGGCCCCAAGTGACAGATCATTGGTGGCTGTCAATGCAAGACTAGCCAGCCTTCTGGGCCAGCTTTGTGGCTCTGGGACAGATGTGGCACCTGTAGGCCAGGGAATCGGGACAGCTTGCTCATGCTGTAACAGCTGGGATCCCGTTACCCGGCCTCCACCTCTGAAATGCCAACCATTGGATTCCGAAAGCCCTGGCTCACAGGGAGTTGTATGCCTAGGAGGGTCCCAGATGCGGGGAGCAATAACCAGATGCTCCCCGGGCTTGCCCAGAAGCAGATTCTAGACCATAGGAAGGCTGGCTCCGCCTCAGAGCCAAACCTCCTACCTCCCCACATTTACAGCTTGGCCTATGGGTCCCTCAGCACCCTGTGGGCTAGCCTTGCTCCCTGGCAGGGGATGGGGACCCCTCGTCAGCTGCGGAAGCTCAGCAGTCTGGGCTCTCGGGCCTGGCCCTCTCTGTTGATGACCCTGTAGACCTTCCTGATGCTGTGGCCCTTTAATACGGTCCCCTTGTGTTGTGGGGGCCCCAGCCATAAGGTTATTTTTGTTGCTACTTCACAACTTAGTTGGCCACTGTTACGAATCGTAATGTGAGTATCTGATGAGACCCCCCCAAGGGCTGGCCCCCAAAGGCTTTGTGACCCACAGGGTGACAGCCACTGCTGTGGAGTGTTGAGTTACATAGGGTATCCCACCCTCCCCTCTTACAGTGTGGCTCATCAAGGGGTGAGGTGGCGGCGGCCCTAAGCCGGAGGAGGACGTGGCTGGGAGGTCTTTGGGGTTGACTGGGAGGACAATGCTGCCATCTGCCCTCTGACCAGTACTGTGACCTAGGCTCAGCCTTTATGGGGTCAGGGCTGAAGACTACCCTGGGCCTAGGTCCTTGTCTGGGGGTCTCCCTGGAGACACCGTAGCAGGCAGGGCAGGCCCTGATGCTGTTTGAGGTCCTACGGGGGCCTGTTAGTCCAAGCAGTGCTGGCTGACTGTCCTTCAGCCCCAGGTCTATGAAGCCCATCTGGCGCCTGGTCTCTGCGCATGGGAGGTGTCTTCGTTAGGGTTTCTGTGGCTGTCATGAAGTGTCCACAAAGCAACTTCAGGAGAAATCGGTTTATTTGGCTTACATAACAGTTCGCTGAGGGAAGCCCAGGCAGGAACTCAAACGGAGCAGGAACCTGGACGCAGGAGCCGTTGCAGAGGCCATGGAGGGGGAGCTGCTCACTGGCTTGCTCTTCATGGCTTATTCAGCCTGCTTTCTTATAGAACCCAGGACCACCAGGCCAGGGGTGGCCCCACCCACCGCAGCCTGGGCCCTCCCTCATCAATCGCTAAGAAAAGTGCCCTACAAGCTTGCCTGCGGCGTTATCTTATGGAGGCATTTTCTTGACTGGGGCTCTTTCCTCTCAAATAAGTAGCCTGTGTCAAGTGGGCATAAATCTAGCCAGCACGGAAGTGACCTTTGCCCCAGAAACATGAGGCAGAGATGAGTCTGACCAGCAGCCTGGGCTCAGGACATCCAGGCAACCATGGAAATGGTTCCAGACCCCTGCCTACCAGAGGGTGAGGCCACACCGGCTGTCCCTTCACCCAGAAGCCTCTGCTCCCACAGCAGCTTCCAGACTGAGTCAGCCATCCTGGGGTGTGCAGGGGTGCCTTCTCCCAAGCCTCAGGCAGACCTTCTGAAGCCTCCCTCCCGCAGGGCCTGAGCCAGCCGCTCCTGCTCTCTCGGCCCCCGGCTTCTGCTGCCCGAAGCCTGCTCCTGCGGCGTGATGATGCGGTCTGGGCTACGCAGTCAGTCCCCGGTGTGTCCTGTCCTCACTGAGGGCCCACCCACCTCAGTCTGGGACCTCACCCCTTGGTCTGTAGAGCCCCCCCCCCCCCCCCGCCCCGGCTTACCTTGGCCTCTCTCTCCTTCACCCGTAGGTGTCTGGTGGCCTGACATGCACCGGCTGGCCGACCGCGTCCACCTGGAGGAGCTGACGCGCATTGGCCTCCTGAGTGGCAGCGTGGACGCCATGCTCCAGGTCCACCTGGGAGCAGTGTTCATGCCACACGGGCTCGGCCACTTCCTGGGCCTGGATGTGCACGACGTGGGAGGTTACCCTGAGGTCAGTGAGCACACAGGTCTCCCTACGCCTGGCCCTTAGCGGGGCACTGAGGGTTCATGGGGGGGGCGGTTACTGGAGATAGTAGAGCAGGAGGCATGGGTCCCCAGTGGCTGCATAGGCGTCAGGCTTGGAGGTGGACGCCTCTGCTTACAGGGCCTCAAGACACACGCTGTGTGTAGTGTCTGTGCAGAGGTCCCCCCCCAGGGACAGTGGAGCCGAAGCCAGGTTTCAGAGTCACCCCAAAGCCTGCACGTCCTTCGTTCACACTGCCTCTGCCCCCCCCCCCGGCTCGGCAGCAAAGCCCCGCCCCTCCCGGCTCCCTAGCTGCCCCCCCCCCCGGGCCACTGGCGGGAGAGGAAGGCTTGCAGGGCATCTTCAGACAGGGCTCCCTGGCCTCTTACTGCCAGCTCCCCGAGGACCACCCAGTGGGTGCCCGAGGGCTCCTGGGCAGCCCTGCTGGGCAGGTGGCTACGGCCCCTGGGGGCCTGTTCCTGCTGCCCAGCCTGGCCCGGTGCCCACCGTGCAGGGGGCGGGTTGTGCAACGGGTGCACACCCTGGGGCCCCCCCAGCCAGTTAGCCAAGCCTGGGCCCAGCCTCTTGGCTGTGGGGTATTTTGAAAGCACAGAGTGATCTGGGGGGAGGGGAGGATTGCTCAAGAGAAGCATTATTATTCAATTATTTTTTTTCCTCAAGTGTAAACAGTTAAACTTGGAGAAAGAAAATCAGTTTTAATTTCCTAATTTCTGTCCATCCTACTGTGCGCAGGGAGCCAAGAGCAGACCCTTCCAGACATTGTTAGCTGAGGTTCGTTATTCATTAGTAGCCAAAGTCCTTTTTCCACCAAAGAAAATTGGCAGCAAACCGTTTTCATCTTTTCCAGTAAGCAGCCCTTTGTGCTCAGGCTATTCTTCTGACAGATAAACACTGTGGAAAAAATATGGCTTTTCCTATAAAAGTCATTTGTTTTATTTCAGGCCTGCAGACACATCTGGGTCTCTCCTCAGAGTCCGGTACAAGTTGAGGCCCCACTGAGTCCTCTGCCCAGGCAGAGTAGCAGGCACAGACACCCTTAGCATAGCTGGCATCCCTGTCCTTGGCCCGTGGGTCACTTGGACATCAGCCTCCTCTGAGCTCTGTCTGTTGGAGGACAGCCTATAACTCCCCCCCCCCCGCCCCCAGCAGACCCTAGGAGCAGCAGCCTCACTGTAAATCCTTTAGTGTCCCCTAAACCCAAGAGATGCCAGCTGGTCAGCCTCAATGGGCTTTCACAGCCACCACGGCTTAGAGAAGGGACAGGCACTTAGGGTGTAGCAGGTACGGGCTGCTGCCCGACAGGAGCACCCCTCACCTGAGCGAGGCCTGGGGCCTTCTGAGGAGCAGTCCCCCATCCCGCAGCCTCCATGCTTGCGGGTCCAGAGGCAAGTGTTGCAAGGCTGATGGTGGCCAGCCAGGGTTCATCCAGAGCACGGCCCTCGAGACGCATGGCCCTGGTGTCCCTCATCAACTGGCCTGCTCACACCAGGCCACAGTGGCCATCCCTACCCTCACGGAATCCCAGTCACAGCCATCCTCACTGTGCCCAGTCCTGGAGGCCAAGCCGGCCTGTTTCTGGTTACCTTACGTGAACCACTAATTGAAGTCTGATGTTCTTGGCCCCCAAACAGTCAGAAACGACAGCTCGGTCTCCAGCAGCTGGGCGTCCTTGGAGGAGCCACGGGCGGGGGCAGGGCAAACTCAGATCCTGACCAGAACGCGTATTTGCTGCCCACTTACTCAGAGCCCTGGGCATCGGCCAGACGGGTGCCCTGGGGAGCGGGAGCAGCAGGGCACACAGGGCTGTTTCCCAGGGCCCAGGTGTAGGCTAGAGACGGTCCTTGCACACCGGTACCGCTGGGAACAGGCCCACCCGGATGACAGCACCTGTCCCTTCCTCTCCGGAAAGGCCGACTTGGCCTGGAGGAGCCAGATCGGTCCAGTTTCCACTTGAGCTGCCTGGAAGGGGAGGCGAGGAAGGCCCTGAGACCAGGCTACCCCCTAAGAGTTTCTTTGGCTTCCCTGGTTTGGCTTCTGACCTGCAGAAGGGCCTGGGTGAGGATAGCCAGACACCCAGCCAGCTCCACGGGCTCCCCCGGCAGGCTGCCCTGCATGTGTGCATTATCAGTGTCCTGAAGGCAGGGTTGGGATGCCCTCAATACAGGTGTGGACAGAGTTCTTGTGGTTAGACGGGGCGGGATACCCTCTGGTCAGGGGAGAACCGGGGGGCTGGAGCCAGTGCTGTGTGGCTGCCTCTCAAGGAGGCAGTGGCCCTGGTGGTCAGTTGGCTTCCCCCAGCCTTCTCTCTCTCTACAGGGTGTAGAGCGTATCGATGAGCCTGGCTTGCGGAGCCTGCGCACAGCGAGGCATCTGGAGCCGGGCATGGTGCTGACCGTGGAGCCGGGGATCTACTTCATTGACCACCTCCTGGACCAGGCCCTGGCAGACCCAGCCCAAGCCTGCTTCTTCAACCGCGAGGTCCTGCAGCGCTTCCGCAACTTCGGTGGGGTGAGTACCTGGGGCCCCACATTCTTATCCCCAGAACGTCCACCACCCCACTGTTGCCTCGGGGAAAATGGAAGGACGGTGGACTATGGTTAAGGCCTGACCAGCCCTCTTCCGTGGGCTGTCGCCAGACAGATACCTTGCCTCTCAACAGGAAGTCTTCAGAACGCCCACCCGTCCCAGAGGCTCCTTGAGAGCACACAGTACAAGGGGCCACCCAGAGGGGCCTCCCTGTCTTCCGCTTTGAGACCAGTCCCATCCCTCAGAAAGCTGCTCCCAGGTGGCACAGTCGGGCTGGGCCAGGCTGGCACCACTAATGTGACAAGTTAAGCCAGCATGGTCATAATGTCATCCTGTGTGTATGGTGCAGGTCCGGATCGAGGAGGACGTTGTGGTGACAAACAGTGGCGTGGAACTGCTGACCTGTGTGCCTCGGACTGTGGAGGAAATTGAAGCATGCATGGCCGGCTGTGACAAGGCCTTCACGCCCTCCTCTGGCCCCAAGTAGAGCCAGCTGTGACGTCAGCCTGCCCATGGCACCCCAGCAGCAAGAGGCAGTGCTCAGCATCGGGCCCGGGAGCTCACACGAGATCCTACCAAAACCGTCACTGCCTCTCCAAGGGAGGACAGCATTGTATTAGCCTGCAAGATCACATCCCTAATCTTGACTTTGCTGATTGATTGAAAACAAACCTGATCTTAAGTCGCAACTAATTCTCTTGCTGCCATTTATATCCATGTGCTCAGGAAAGGAAGCACTCTAGGTGTCTTCTCCAAACAAAAATCAATACGCAGGATGGAGTTTGCAATAAAAGCTTTTCTAAACCGGCCCTTTGTACCCAGCTTCCTCTTTACTCCTTCACAGAAGGGAGCAGCATGGGGGCCGTGGCCCCAGATGATGTAGCATAGGTCCTGTGCCCCCTGCTTCTGCCTGGGACAACCAGGAAGTCCTCCTCCAAGCCCTTTCACTGCCTGAGTTAGTGTGACACTATCACCTGCTGCCAGGATCCCCACGCAAACAGGCACCACAACCACCAGGGCATTTGATAAGTTCTGGGCCTTGATCTCATTTTTATAATAAAGACAGAGCGTATCAGCCAGCAGCTCGGCCTAAGGCAGCAGCGTGGCACAGGAGGGCCTGTACCCGACCTGTCTGGGACCCTGCCATCCCCAATAGAAGCCTACTGACCCAAGTCCATCCCAAGGCTGTAAGCCATGCAGGGCCCAGCTGTGCCCACGGTGGACCACTTGTCCTCTCCGCTTGACATAGTGTCTCATAGTCCTGGGGATCTGCCACCCCCTCAGAGCTGGCGTCTGAAACTCTAACACAGTTCCAGGATGGGAGAAAGGTTCCACCAGTATGGCTCGGTAGGGTTAAGCACTACCATGCCTGTGATCCCGGGACTGAGGGGCTGGAGGCAGAAGACCAGGAATCCAAGCCTTGGCTACACAGTGAGTTTAAGACCAGCCTGGGACATGAGACCCTGTCTCAAAGCAGAAGCAGGCCAGTCTCTGTTGAGTTCCGGGCCAGCTAAAACTATATGGAGAGATCCAAAATAACTAAATAAAACTGAAAAAAATAAAATAAATGGAGCAAAAGAACTGGCCCGAGCTAGAGACTTCAAGCAGTCACCAAAGGGTGCAGTCACTAGAAATTGGCTTCTTCCTATGGCAGTGACACAAAAGTGCCTATGATGTGGCCACAAGAAAATAAAAGCCACCATAAAACAAATGCCAATCTCAGTCCCAAAGCACCATTTATCTCATTTTCTCCTTGGGTTTTGCTGGTACACATGGGCCCATCCTCTCGGCTACCCACCAGGGACAAGCAAGTCTGAGAAAACACGGGCTCACTTTATCCCACGTTCCCGAAGCTGTCTGCGTCCATCTCCTCCAACTCTGCAGAAATGTGTGCAGAGGCCGGCCGGTCCTGAAAGCTCCACTCTGCTGAGGCCTTCCCCACAATCTGCAAGGGCTGGCCCAGCATTAACTGAGCATCTTCTCCAAGAGAGAACTGCCTCAGGCAATGGAACGTGCCATCAAGGAAAACCACGGGATTGGCCTCGTACAAAGGTTGCAAGGTTAGACCCGGAAGGGTTTGGAGAGAGAAACAAGAGATGCTACATTCCAAACAGAAAGAGCTGCAAGAGGCAGAAGGGACGATGAGGGCGGGCATAGGTGCCACATTCCAAGACTAGGGAGCAGAGGAGGTTCTGGACGCCGTGTGATACACTGCCACACGGAACCAGGAGGCATCAAGTCCATGCCGGTGCCGGCTCTGGGCTGGACAGGACCGAGTGGTAGGGTCTCAAGCAGGCAAGCTCCAGGGGTACACAGAGGTCCAACTCAAACCTCCAGCTATAGAAAGGCACCCGACTGCCTCCAAAGGGAGGGCTAAGACTCGGGGGATGGGACTTCTTTTTTAATGCACAAGATACAGTTATGAACTCTTCACACATGTACAGGCACTTTGAGAACTGGTCATTCTAAAAGTGTTTTTTATTAAGACCTGGTTTCGTCACAAAGTATAAAAACTTCTAATACACAAGTTACTAGAAATAAACTCCAACTAGAGCGGGAGATTATAGCTGGGTTGGTAGAGTACTCACCTAGCATACAAAGCTCCAGTCTCAAGCCCGTGTCACACATTCTACAAGTAGTGGTACATACCTGTAATCACGGCACTTCAGAGGCAGAGACAGGACGTCAGACGTTCAAAGTCATACTTGGCTACATATCAAGGTGATGGACAGCCTTGGCTACATTGAGAACTTCTCACTAAAACTTAAAACAAAAATTCACAGCTAATTCATTCAAACAATGTAGAACACCAATAGAAATGATTACGTGCTATAATTTTGGGGGGTTTTTTTGCTTGTTTTTTGAGACAAGGTTTCTCTGTGTAGCCCTGGCTGTCCTAGAACTCACTCTAATAGACCAGGCAGGCCTTGAACTCAGAGATCCACCTGCCTCTGCCTCCAGAGTGCTGGGATTAAAGGTGTGCGCCACCAACGCCCAGCTTTTTTTAAAATCTCCATTATGCTGGGATTACAAGTGTGCAGCACCACACTAAGCCCCACAATTTTCATGATCATGCAACAATCTGAAACTCAGTTCCCCAAACACAAGACTTAAAAACCAGAGGAAAGCATCTCATTTTCTCCTTTAAATACACAACTCGAACTGGTTTCCTGCACTCGGGCTAATTCACTTCCAAAACCAGGCACCGTCAAGATAATATTGGTACTCTCAATTGTATGCAATACTAGGGACAGGCTTCAGATGGCAACCACAGGAACCACCAGGAGACAGCAGCCTCTTTCATGTCCCCCACTCCAGGGTGCAGTTTAAGTCAGACCAAACAACTACAGACAACCGAAGATGCATTCCAGTAGGGAAAACCACTTCACTGTCTACTCAGGGAAATCCGAACTGGGACAAAAGCCCCCCTGCTGATCCATGCCAGCCCAGCCCCCAGCCCAGGACAGAGAGAGGTGGAGGTACCTGCAGGATCTTTGGGGCCAATTACAAGTGAACTTCTTGCCCACATCCAAGATAGAGGAAACCCACAAAGAAAACCAGTCATAGTTCCAAAGGTGTTTATTTTTAAATTTGTTGAAAGAAATAAAATTATATTTAAAAAAATAGAGTAATCTCACAAACTGAAAGCCAGGAACAAAAAGAACAAGTTAGTATTTTTCCTGAGAGGCAGATGATTAGCTCTATGAAACCTTACCTAACCTGTCAAACACACAGGTATCGTTCCTATGTCTAAGGCATCAGAAGCACTCTAGGTGCTGCATGGGTGATTCAGGCACGAAGCTTCAGCCCTCTAGTGTGTGTGTGGGGGGGTTAGAAACGAAACATCAAAGGCTGCTGCATTTCCTTTCTTATCAAATTGAACATGTTTCTACTTGCATAAATTGGGGGGAAAAATGAGTGGACTCATGACCTGGATTTCAAACCCTGGGTCTCATTTTTGTAACATCCTTACTAAGATTCCAAAGTCACCTGCCACAGAGGGCTAGGCACAGAAGGGAAGCTGACCCTCCCTCTGCACCCATAACTAGTCAAAGGGCACCCATCCCAGGAGACACAGCTTGACTCCTAAGCTACCAGACCTGTCTACAAGGCAGATCAAACTCTAAAGGTCCCCAGGAGGGAGGTACAAAACCCACTTTCAATTTCCAAAGTTCTAAGCTTCCCCACTCCCAAACCTAGTTTCTCTCAAGTGTACACTGAGAAATCTATCAAGCTAAGCCTCATGTCCACTCCAGTGAGAAAGTCCAAAGGCCAGCTAACTTTTGTGTTCTGTGCAGAACTGCTGGCCGGTGCTGAGGATCTGGTTTGCGAAGGTAAGGGCAGTTGGAACTGGTTTGTACTAGAAATATTGAGTACTGCCTTCCCTACGGCTTGTTTAAGTCCTTGCATCGATAACCACAAATTCCACGAGAACATCCATTTGTGAAAGCTGGTGTTTGGAAGTAGAGTTTCCAATGTCTGAAGGTATTTACGGATTCAAGTAGGACCTAATTGATCTCCCATTAAGTTCCTAACTTCAACCAGCTGGTAAAAATTAGGATTGTATGGGTGTATCCTTGTTAGACAAAACATCTACCAATCTTGATGAGTGGATGGCTATTCCAACCAAGGTAAACTTGTGCTGGACCCTAACTTTTTAAAACTCCACTCATTTCTTGGTTCCCTAAGAACGGTGTCCACTCCTGTCGTGGGCACAGTGGCCCTAAAAGGCTTTGCTGAGCTGCAGGGCACGGCTCTTCTGTCACCCTCAGGAGCACCTGAGTTACTGGGGTTACAGCAGCCAAGTCTTAGGAGGAAACGGCACAAAGTGACCATGTTCAGACAAGACTCCAGGCAGCACAAACTGTGACCATGCAAGACCCATGTTCTCGCCACCATCTCAGGAAGCAACAAATTTTAGCTGGGAACTGTGCAAAAACCACGAGCTACTAAGACAGTCTAAACTACAACAATGACAAAAGCAGACCCTAGAGACACCCTATGGGCTTTTCAGCTTCACAACACAAAGTCAGTATCCTGAGTTTTATCAGCATTTTATCTCGTAAATAATGTATACAAACATAAAAGCATACTAGTGGATAAATGGAGGCAACAAGGCGTGAAGTAGAACACCCCATTAACCCAGAGAAGAAATCCCTCAAAAAGAACACAAACAAACAGGCTTAGGAAATAAATTAAAGATTGAAACCTTATACTTTCAAGTTTTCTTTGACTATTCTTTTGAGAGATGGCATGAAGTCGATACATATTTCTAATAACCATTTAGTAGAGATCAAATACCAAAACGTGCCTCTTCGCACAAGCACACACAATGAGACTATGCCTTTAAAAATCATGGCCCCCATTGGCAGTTATTCTGAACACAGGAGAAACCAAAAGAATTAGTATTCATTTTGTTTTTGTTTTTGAGACAGGGTTTCTCTGTATTGCTTTGGAGCCTGCCCTGGAACTCACTCTGTAGACCAGGCTGGCCTTGAACGCACAGGTATCTGCCTGCCTCCGCCGCCCAAGTGCTGGGACTAAAGGTGTGCGCCATTATGCCCAGCATAAACTAGTATTCTAAATCATGGTCTGTATCATCAAGCCAAGGCATTTTATTTACTAACTTGGCTGTCCAAAAAAGAAAAAAAAAAAAAAGGTCGTGTTCCACCCCCCCCAAATGTAACTTTTACTAGCATCCACAGAAACTGTCAGAACACAGCAGACACATGACAATACTAATCCAATAAAGCAAAGGCTCCCAAAGTTTCAATCCCTCTCTCTCTATGCCCTTTAAAAGAAACAAGGGAGAAAAAAACCAAAACCACTTCTTTCCTTCCTAAATGCAATTTGTATTTTTAGCTCCCTCTTTGACATGACCTGAATGGGGGTTTCTTCGCTTTGTCTGTACTTGTTGGGAAAAATAATGTCAAATATGCAAACACAGGTTTATACTAGCTATAAAATGTGGTCAAATTATAATGATTGGTTTCTGAAGCCCTAGAATTTACAATACACAATGTAGACTAAAATCACAAATCCAGGAACAGATGGAATTCAGCATTTCTTAATCCAAGGTATCGTCTCATTAAAACCCCAAAGCTTCTTTATAACCTTCCATTTCCCCATGCCTAGAAAGAAACATTTCTGGGGAAGTCAGGATTTAAGAATAGTAAGGTCCAGGAATTTTATTTTAACCATAAACCCTAAGTTTTCTTTTAGTGCTTCAAAGACCCATCATCATGAAGACCAGATAAATTACATGGCTAATCAACTGTTCAGTACTGAGCCTAGAAAATAACCTCCAAAGGAACAGGACCAGCTCAGCCACTGAACCAGCGGTGCAGGGTGGGCACTCCTCTCCCGTCCGAGCCACAAGGCCGAGGCCCCTGGAAGATCTACTGCCCTGTGTTATCAGAATGTGTCGTGGCAGTCTCAGTGCTGATGGGCTGCACGTTGTCTGCGAGGTTGTGCGCGTGCTCAAGAAACAAGTCTTTCAGTACACTCAACTCCTTTGTCAGCAACTTAATTTTGGCCTCCAAGCGCTCGTTCTCTTCTTTGAGCTGGTTCACTCTTTGCAGTGTGTCTTGAGCTTTCTGCTTGCTTTTTAACCGGCTCTTTTTCACCGCCATATTGTTCCGCTCTCTGCGCTGGCGATACTCGTCACTGTTTCGATCCATGGGTGAACTCTTTTTGCTTTGTTTGCTCGGAGGCACGGCTTTGCCTCCTCCCCCGGGCCCGGCAGGCACCAGCTGAGGAACCTGCTGTAAGCCACTGGCATGTGCCTGAGTATGAATGACACTTATTCCGTTCACTCCGGGAGTAGCGGCTGGCTGCGACAGCTTGCTCATTTGGGCAGTTCCTTTGCCAACACAGAACAGGTAGAAATCAGAGCAGTGTGATCAGCAGAGGCCACACTCAGTGCCAAAAAATCTTCACATGTACCTAGTTAGAAAAGAAGTTGCATTAAAATACTTGAAATGACAGATCAAGTAAAATTAAGCTTGCATGGACCTAACGAGGCAGGCGATCTAACGCGGCAGGCGGTCTAATGCGGCAGGCGACCTAACGCGGCAGGCAGTCTAGGCAGGCAGGCGATCATTAATTGGTCTCGCTGACACAAACGGCTACCAACTGCCACAGCGTTTCCAAACTTCAAAGGGTAAGTTGGTCCAGAGGCTGAAGGCCAGCCCCACCTGGGGCTAGCTGTGATTATCAAACAGGAAAGGAAAAAACAAGGCATGGCACAAATTAGGCAGCACATGTGAGCTAGTAGCACCTGGACAATCTGCCAGGGAGAAATGCGAGCTGTTTGGTTGGGGTGAGCATAGGAAAGCAGGTTCAATTACTGCAGGAGGCACACCTGCAATGAGAGGGGGCGTTTCCAGTCAGGCTAGAAAGCTGCAGCAGGAAGCTCAGCCTGCAAAGCCCATGAGGATCCGAGTGCCTCCTTATTCAATATTCCCTGGGTGGCTTAGCAGTGATGTCGCCTAATGTGCGCTATTATTTTTAAGGCAGGGTACTCTCAGTTGCTTAGTTGATTTGCCTTTTTACATTTCAGCAAGCTTCAGTGACAGTTTACTGAAATTTACTCAGTCTGTTTCTTGTGTTTGGGAATGGAGACATCCAATAAAGTACCCCCATTCCAGCCTGTGTCAGTGACACAATCGCCTAGCCAGCAAACTTCTATCTCAAAAAAATATTTGCATTGCAATTCATAACAGTAGCAAGATTACAGTTATGAAGTATCACTGAAAATAATTTTGTTTGGGGGATCACCAAACATGAGGAATTGTTGTGAGGAAGGGTCACAGTGTTGGGAAAGTTGAGAACCACTGGCCTAAACATATTGATTCACAAAAGAAGAAACAACGTTCTAGCGACACAGGCAAGGAAAGCCAAGTACTGCTGATGGGAGACGTCAGTCTGTAAATCTGTCTCTTACTGGTTGTTGAATAAAGCACTGTTGGCCAATGGGGAAGCAAGATAGGTGGGACTAGGAGTCAAGGAGGATTCTGGGAAAGAGAGTCAGAGTCAAACAAGAGGTCTGGACCCTTTTCTCCAGTAAGAGAAATACTTAGATTAACAATTATGGGTTAAATACTTAAGTCAGAGATAGCCAGTAAGAAACCAAGCAAACGGCCAACAGCTTCATAACTAATATAGCCTCCTGTGTGTTATTTGGGGGTTCAGACAGCGTGGCAGAGCCCAGGTGACTGGCGGGGAAGACTACACGTTACATATTGGAACCCAGGCTGGACCAAGGGCGACGCAGCCGCTGTTGGTACCCACTTCTCACTCAGAGAGCTCAGCAGACTCACTGAAGCACTTCTGTGGAAAACTAATGAGGCCTGGCTGGCTACCTATCACCTGTGAACGGTGGTGTGTGAAAGCACCTACTCGATCCCCACGAGGACATGTCACTATAAACTCAAATCAGTCGTGTCCACCTAGGAGACACAGACCCTTCCAAAGCGTTGTGATCCATCACTCCACCCTGCCGTCTTCCCAGAACTGCAGAACAACGGCATCAATGAACGAAGTTAGAAAAGTTAACTAGAGTAAGGAAAATGCTCCAGTGACACCCCCAAGGTTATTACGAAAAGCCCAGTCAGTAAGCATCAACAGCTTCACCAAACTTTAGCCAAGCTTCTTCAAGCATGCTTATTAAGTTGGCCTTTTATTATTTATTAATCTTTGCCTTTAAATGCCCATATATCATTACTTTGAATAGTTTAAAAAGCCACTCAGCCAGCTCAGAGCTAGTGGGTCATCTGTTCTTACTCCAGCACTAAAGCAAGACAGAAAGCTTCCTTCCATGTCATGATGGATATGGACTCCGAGTTATGCTCAATAACAAACATTTCACAATTTCCCTTGAAAATGATTGTGGCCTAATTTTTCTCCCACTTAAAAGGTGGTTGTTCAAAATAAAAAAGTAAACAAATTAATTAAATAAGTGGGTATTCAATATTAATTTAAGCCACCCCGGCTGCCATGTAATACTGTTGCTTATCAAGTTGGTATAATGTGTTTAATCCAATCTTAAGAACCTGTATAATTTAATACCTCTCCTGGGATTTTCTTATATTCTTTTTCTTCAAAACTAACCTCTACAGTCAATTTGTCCTAGCTCAAAGACAGCAACTTTGATCCAAAGAAGCGCAGACTGGAAACCAGATGAAAGCTTTCCTTGGCTCCGGCTCCCTCGTCACCCCTCCTTCCTGTGAGCGTCAATCCCCATCTGTACAGGAGGGGTGTGGAAATGGTATGGTGCCCCAACTGCCAAAATACCATCAGCTCTAGTCACTATCAACTCAGTCAAAACAGGCTCCAAATTCAGGGATGTTCTGCCTACTCCTGAACCAACCATACAAGAATGGGGTAGGGGTCTAACTAATCTTACTAGGGTGCCAACGAGAACAAGGTAGAGGTTCTGAGCAAGCCTTTTGGCTAGAAAAAACAAGAGTATTGTTTATTGAACCTACAAACTTGCAAGACAAAGGGAGAGAAAAGTAGTTCATATTGTTTTAAAAAAAAAAGTAGGGTAGACATAGTGGTACATTTTTAAGACCAGTCTTGGAAGATAGAGTCAGGTGGATCTTTGTGAGCTTTGAGGTTACATAGCAAATCCCAAGACATCCAGGCTTATGTAGAGAGATCCTGTCTTTAAAACAATACAGAGAAACCATAAAGAAAGAAAGAAAGAAAGAAAGAAAGAAAGAAAGAAAGAAAGAAAGAAAGAAAGAAAGAAAGAAAGAAAGAAAGCCAGGCAATGGTGCACACCTTTAATCCAGCACTCAGGAAGCAGAGGCAGGGTCATCTCTGTGAGTCCAAGGTCAGCCTGGTCTACAGAGCAAGTCCAAGGACAGCCAGGCCTACACAGAGACACCCTGTCTTGGAACAAAAAAAAAAAAAAAAAAAAAAACCACCAAATCTTCAACCAGTAGACAAGTCAAAAAAGCAACTTAAAACGAACAGAACACTAGACAGACATCAAGGAGCTAACTTGAGAGGCTCCAAACAGATCACTTGGTTTTGCTGGGAACAAAGACTGTCATTTATGCTTTGTTCCTTCCACAAACATTAGCTGAGCTTCCCAGGAAAGCAGCCTGACGTTTATATCTGGATAATTAACCCTCAATCAAAGTCTGGCTCCTGGATGGACCAATCTATTCCAAAGTTCAGGCCACAGGAAGCAGGGTGGTGCCTTCTTCCGTCTACCTGTCAATCCCCCAAGAAGCAACAGGAAAGCTGAGGGCAGCAGAGCAGCCCTGAAAGTGGTCCCTGAACCACAACACCAGCAACTTTTGCAAGCGCCAATTCTCAGGCTGCCAGACTGAGGAACAAGCTCTGGATGTGGGCTTTCAGAGTCTGGTTTTAGGGGAGCTCCCACCATGATTACTGCGACACTGCCAAGGAGAAGACACCGCATATAAACAATGAACCTTTTTAAGAATGTCTGGCTAAATGAAATTAGGTAACAGATTTTTTTCAAATGAAAATATAATTAAAGTAATATTCACTCAAAAGAATTTTTCTCAACTTTCACTTGGAATAAACCTGTACATAATATTTTTCCTAGCTTTGTCATTTTACTCATAGACCTGGATAGAATCACGTATTTCCCCATTAGCCCCTCAAAATTTTTTTCACCCAATTTCCTTAATGAATGTTGAGCCTTTAAATTTACAAACAAAAGCATACCACATCCATTGTCCCTCTCACTGTCAGAGATTACCTCAGGCTGACATCATCCCTCAGGGGCCCTAGGCTCAGGTGTAACAGGCAGGCTCACTCCAAGCCCTCACTCACCATCCACAGCAGTGGTTCTCAACCTCGCAATGCTGTGGCCCTTTAATACACTTCATGTTCTATTCAAACATACAATTATTTTCATTGCCACTTTATAACTACAATTTTGCTACTATTAATAAATCTCTTTTTTTTTTTTTTTTTTTGGTTTCCCGAGACAGGGTTTCTCTATTGTTTTGGAGGCTGTCCTGGAACTCTCTGTAGACTAGGCTGGCCGGCCTCGAACTCACAGAGATCCACCTGCCTCTGCCTCCCAAGTGCTGGGATTAAAGGCGTGCGCCACCAACGCCCGGCCTATTAATAAATCTTAATATAAATATCTTATGTTTCCCCATGGTCTTAGGTGACCCCTGTGAAAGTTTTGGTTGTTTGACCCCCAAAATGCCTGAGACTCACAGGTTGATCTAGAGCAATCTTCCCCAAAACCTAATTGTGTCACATTTTGCTACTGAAAATCAGTGTCTATGACTCCAAACCGCAGGTCCTAACCCTCTACAGCCCCTGCTCCCTTAACTCAAGACCACTCAAGGGCCTCCCAAATGTCTGTTCTCTTCCCTCTGTGCTTTCTGTCCAAATCTGCACTCCCAGCATCTTTGGCAACCCCAGCTTCAGCTGTCTCCCTGGAGACTGTTGGAGGCGGGGCTCATGATGAAGGCAGGGTCCTGTGTATGGGCCACTGGAGAATGTGAAGAAAGCGCATGTTTCTTTGGATATTGCCCTTGAAACCTTTTCTAGCACATTCAAAATAAAAATGTTGTTTAGAAATATTCATTTATTAGGAGTTCCTGTTCAGGTTTTGGTGGGTTTCTTTTTTCTCTCCCGCCATCCCCTTTAACAGCAGGGGAGGGCAAAGGGATAGGCAGGGAACCCATACACTTACTTGTGTATAGAGGGAAACCTGGAGTTGTCACAGCAGTCATCACTGACTGAGTGAGGCAACTTCTGACAGGGTGCTGTGTGTCTTTCCCATGACCTCAGGAGGGAATGTTCCCAGGGGCTTTCCTGGGGATCATTTAATTCACCAGGGATGGAAACACCTCTCCAAGATCACAGAGCCCAGCTGACAATCATGAGAGAATTTAAAGACAATGGGGGAGGGGTGTCGCCTGTTCTCACCTATTTGTTTCTGACAGGTAATAAAAATAACTTGAGCCAGTCAAGCATGTCCAACAGAGGCAGGAAACAGGCTCAAATTTTTCTTCAGCTCCATAGCATCCTGTAATTATTTACAGGTTTTTCAGAAACGGGGAAATAACCCCAGGGGCTGCTTATCAAAACTATTACTCAAGTGGACAGGAGACCTTTAGAGTTTTTTGAAGGCTAGGGGTGTGGCTCAGAAGTAGAGGGGCTTGCCTACCACGAAGTGCATAAGAAGTCCTCCGCAAAGAAAGCCCTTACAGGGCTTCATTTCCAATTTCCCTCTGTGGAGACAGGTCTGCATTTAATAGTAACATATTCAAATAAGGACTCAAGTGGGTGGAAAACTCGGGAGACACAACCCCACAAAGGTTTAAAAACCTTTCTAAAACGGACACGTCTTACGATGGCGGCTTACAAAGAAATAAGTAAAAAACAAAAAACACAAAGCCCTTAAACAGGAGCAAAGCTAAACACGCCAACCTTCGTTAAGACCAAATAAATACACAGGCGCGCTTGGAAAGAGACCACCGTGCACATGCACACCGGAGCCCCTCTCTCTCTCTCTGCCTGGACACCTCGGCTGGCTCTTTTTTCCCCCGCGTTCCCTCCAAGCCCTCGCTAAGGAAACGCTTCGTGGCTTGTGACCTGCTTATTTCATAGCGACCGGGGGGGGGGGTCCACGCGCCATATGGGTTGCCCTCCCATCCCCCGAACTGCAAGGACACGCCACCGTCCTCAAAACCAAAACCACCCCTCCTGCACCCTTACGTGTGTAAGAACATCAAATGCTCCTGCACCTTTGCATGTGTAAAAAATTACCAAGCGCTCCTGCACCCTTACGTGTGTAAGAACATCAAGTGCTCCTGCACCCTTACGTGTGTAAAATAATATCAAATGCTCCTGCAACCTTATGTGTTTAAAAAAACAAACAAAAAAAATCCAGCGCTTCCCCCTAGGAGGTCACCAGGATAACAACTCCCAAGGGGGACCCGGGAGGGAGGCGACAGCAGAGTCCCTAAGCCAAGGCTCGGTCCACCCACCCTCCATCCCCCAGGGGCCAAAGCGCGCCGGGCTGGTCCCGCCCGCCCGCCCGCCCGCCGCGCGTCGCAGGGGGCCGGGTTCCGGAGGGGGCCACCTGGTCCTCCGCCCCACGACCGCGGCGGCGGGGGGCTCGTCCCCGGGGTGGGGAAGCACCGGGGGTCGGCGGCGCCACGCGCGGCCAGCGCTGGGCCGCGGCCAGGGATGAGCTCAGCCCCGCCGGGTGTTGCCGCAGGTTGCATCAGACGCGGTTCCCGGGTCCGCGCCGCGCCACCCGGCCGCCAGGGGACCCTTCCGGGTCAGCCCGCCGATTCGGGCTGGGCCGGGTGTCGTCCGGGCCGGGCCGGGCGTCTACGCGAGCGGCGGGCTTCGGCCGCGGCCTCCTCCTCCCCTCCGAGAGCGAGCCCGCGGCGGCCTCCTTACCTGCGCCTCCGGCCGGCCCGCCCGCCCCCCTAGGCGGCCTCCACTCCGCAGCGGCCCCCGCGCGACCGGACCCAGGCCCTCGCAGCCCGCGAGTCGGCCAGGAGGAGCGACGGTTACGAAACACCGGCAGGGCCTCCGCCCGTCCCGCCGCCGCCGCCGCCGCCCGCGGCCGCCACCGGCTCTTCCCCCCCCACCTCCGCGTCGCGTCGGGTCGGCGCGCGCCGCCACCGCCGCGACCAATAGGAGCGCTCGCCTGCGAGGGACGCGCTGGAGACGGGCGGCGCCCCCAGCCAATCGCAGGCCGCGCGGCCGCGAGGTGGGGGGCGGGCGCGCGGCGGGGCCGGGGGGCGGGACGGGCGTGGTGGGCGTGGTGGGCGGGGCGGCGCCGGCGGTGGCTGGAGGCGCGCTCCTCCGTGGGTTCTCCTCCCCTCCTCTCCACTTAAGGCTGCAGCCGGTGAGCTGTGGGGGTGGCCGGTGGAGAGGAAAGTTCTGTGTGGGTTTGGAGGCTTGAAAAGACGGCCGATCACCTTGGGAGGCCCCCGCCTGCCTTTGGGAAGCGGCATTTCCAGAGGCGGGTGTTTTTTGTTGTTTTTTTTTTGAGACCTTTTGCGGACTGTAACTAGCGAGTTGGGGGAAAAAACCCGTCGGATGTAGGGTTGGGTTGGCGCGCCGGGGTCACAACTTCTTGAGAACTGCGGACTGCGGCTCCCGAAGTGTGCTCGCCTCGGTGAGGACAGGCGATGCACGTGGCGTGGCCTCTAAAAGTTCTCCCAAACGGTCCACGGGAGGCTCAGAAAGCATTTGTGTTTTGTGTGTGTGTGTTTGAAAAACAGGAAGCAGCGCGCTGGGTGGAGGGGGCAGTGATAGGTTTGATTGCTTCCTCTTTAGTAATGCTTATCGTTCAAAGCTCGCTGGCTTTCAAAGAGGAAGTGTTTCTTCATCCAGGAGAGCTGCAGGTGTCCACGTAAGACTGTTTTCGAGGAATCCCTGGGAGATGAGAGCACCTTCAAAAAGGGAGGGAGGGAGAAAACAGCAGCCACCGAGCTTGAACCATGTGATAACCCCGTGCCCACTCGGGATCAAAGAATGGAATCAAAGGACCAGTATGCCTCGTGAGGTTCAGACCTCTATGCTAAGACGACCAGAGTCGGACTGTGTTCCCCTCACAAAATCGTGATCTCTTCCTAATCACACAAGACTACAGAAAATGGACCAGCACTCGGGAGGCAGAGGCAGGCGGATCTCTGTAAGTTCGAGACCAGCCTGGACTACCAAGCGAGTTCCAGGACAGCCTCCAAAGCCACAGAGAAACCGTGTCTCGAAAAACCAAAAAAAAAAAAAAAGAAAGAAAGAAAGAAAATGGAAAGCAGCCTTGCCTATCACACAACGGCGTACGGAGTGAACCTCTGGTTTGCCAGCCGCTCTGCTAACTGCTTTTCTGTGTTGTGTCTAGGCAAGCCTGCCACACCCAGGCAGTCAGAAAAGCCCAGGAATAATCTTGAGATGTCCTCCTTACCTGGCAATAGCTGGTAGCCCTTTTCCCGTTTGCAAACGTGTGTTTGGTGCCAACTGTGTGTGTGTGGTTAAGAGCTGGGGGTCAGAACGTACAGCCCCTGCCCGCACGAAGCTTACTCTGAGAACCAGAGAGGCATGATTCCAGCTCCATTTTCATATAGACGCTTACGGGGGTGGGGGGGGGGGGGCGGGTTTAAGATGCTGGGAGAGATTTCAAGAGGAGACCAGACCTAATCTCATGCGTCAGAGAAGGCCTAAACTATGAGAAAAGTGTTGCCCGGTTGGCACTGATGAGATGGACACACCAGTCGAGGGCAGTATCTTTAGTATCTTTGCCTAGAGGCCCTGTGATAGGAGGACTTAAATGTCAAAGCAGCTGGGGCGAGAAGCCCCAGTGGAGACTGATAGCGTGGGCCCAGCCATGTGGACCCAATAATGGTTTTGATAAGGGAGTGTTTGAACCCAGGATGTACATACGGGGTAAACACGCTACCGCGGAGCCAAACCCCAACCGAGGAGTATACTGTTTTTTTCCCCTCCCTGTAATTGGAGACACTCATCGTAAGGAATTCAGGACCTGATAAAGACTCTGCCTCCAGGCTGAAGAAACCTAGGTTGCTTTCTTGCAAATCACAGAGACTCAAGCTGTCCCAGTAAAAGAAAATGTCCTGTGTGTGTGTGTGTGTGTGTGTGTGTGTGTGTGTGTGTGTGTGTGTCTGTGTGCCCCTTACCAATGTCCAAAATATGTCCTAGAAACCCAAAGGCGCTGTAATCCGGCAGTATATTTTTAAAAAGTCTCCTTTCAAAGGACTTCAGAAGTAGGGCGACCTGTTGGTTGAATAATCTAGCCATTTGACAACGACTGTCACTAATCACAGGTTTGCCCGAATGCTGTGATTCAGTGTTGCTGGAACATTAGTTTTACACTGTAAAGACGTGTCTCTGCCTAAGGGGCCTTCTGAATGGTTTAATGAAGACCTGAATGGCCAATAGCTAGGAAAGAATAGGTGGGACTTCAGGCAGACAGAGACTAAAACTGGGAGGAGGAATCTAGGCCAGTGACTTCCCCAGCAGACGCAGAGCAAGCTGGATGTGCCATACCAAGGAGAGGTAACTGAGCCATGTGGCAGAACATAGATTTTAAAAAAATGGGTTAATTGAGTTATAAGAGCTAGTTGGGCAGGGTGGTGGTTGCGCACGCCTTTAGTCCCAGCACTCGGGAGGCAGAGGCGGGCAGATCTCTGTGAGTTCGAGGCCAGCCTGGTCTACAGAGTGAGTTCCAGGACAGCCTCCAAAACAATACAGAGAAACCCTGTCTCGAAAACAAACAAACAAACAAACAAAAAGAGCTAGTTGGGAAAAAGCCTAAGCTAAGGCTTACATAATTAATAATAAGTCTCTGGGTCATTATTTGTGGCCTGGCAGTCCAGAGATAGTTCAACAAGAACTACTGCTTGCTACATACAGTATGGAGTCAGAATATTACCAGCTTAGCCCGGTGTTGGTGGCGCACGCCTTTAATCCCAGCACTCGGGAGGCAGAGGCAGGCGGATCTCTGTGAGTTCGAGGCCAGCCTGGTCTACAAGAGCTGGTTCCAGGACAGCCTCCAAAGCCACAGAGAAACCCTGTCTCGAAAAAAACAAAAACAAAACAAAAAGAAAAAGAAATACAAACAGAAAGGTATGGCCTGCAGTGACAAACAGAAGGAGCTCAAAAACAAGCCAATGAGGATGTGTGTTTCAGTATGAAAAAAAACAACATATCATAAGCTCTGGCATTAATAAAACTAATTTCTCAATATCAAGAAGGCTGGGGAGTCCAAAAGTAAACGGCTGGTCTTATTCTGCTGTAGGTTGTTGGAGTTTTTGTTGTTGTGTTTATTTTCATTTTTGGGCTTATGGTTTGCTTATTTGTATATGTGTATAGCGTAAATAATGAAAACCCAGAGACAGATACTGGGATTAAAGATCAGAGAAGAAAAGCCGCCAGCCACTAGAGAGTTCTCAACGCTACCAGTGCTCAGAGGGGGCCGTCCTGTCCTCCTGACTGCGCTGCTCCTCAGACTGCTCAGACTGCAGACTGAATCAGACTGAGACCCTGAGCTCCTGTCTCCTATTCCTCTCCAGTGCTGGGGTCAAAGGCTTTGAACCACCACCGCCCAGCTTCTACGGCTAACTAGCGTGACTGCTGGGATCGAAGGTGTGTGCCACCACTGCCTGGCCTCTATGGCAAGCTTTGTTAGATCATAAACAAAGGAACACCACATATGTGAACGTGTGTGTGGATCCACATGTGCCCTGCCATGGTCGTGGAGGTCAGAGAATTTGTAGGAATTGGTTTCCTCCCTTCACCGTATGGGTCTTGGGGACTTAAACTGAGGTCATCTGACTCGGTGGCAAGCAGTTTTATTAGCTGAGCCATCTCTCCAACCAGACTTTTTAAAAATGTGCATGAGTGTTTTGCCTGCATATGTGTATATGTGCATCACAGGCACCCATCGGGATCAGAGAGGGTGCCAGATGCCCCGGAACTGGAGTTAGGGTGGTTGTGAGCCACTGTGCGGGAGCTAAGATCCGAACCTGGCTCCTCTGCGAAAACCAACTCTCTAGCCCCTTGTTTGTTTTGGTTTTAAGACAACACTAATAACTGGGTGTTTGTTGCACACGCCTTTAATCCCGGCACTCGGGAGGCAGAGGCAGGCGGATCTCCGTGAGTTCGAGACCAGCCTGGTCTATGGAGAGAGTTCCAGGACAGCCTCCAAAACAATACAGAGAAACTCTGTCTCGAAAAACCAAAAGAGAGGCAAAGAAGGCAGTACTGGATCGTAAGCTGGGGTGTAAAACCAATACCCGTGAGTCTGCAAGAGTGTTAGCAAATGACTGCATGGACATCAGGGAGGAGCTAGATCTGCTTTGCAGAATCCCTTGCAGTCTCTTCACCCGGTTCTTGGTAGGCAGTGTAACTCGTGTGTGTACATGTGTGTGTATGCATGTGTATGTGCATGTGCGTGTGTGTGCGTGCGCTCACGTGCATGCATGTGCGTGTGTATTGCGTGTATGTGCGTGCATGCGTGTAGTACGTGACAACAAGAGGACAGCCTGTGGGAATCCATTCTTTCCTGCCACAGTGTGGGCCCCAGTGCTTGAACCCCGGCTCCTCTGCCCCATGAGCTCTCTCCAGCCCTCCCCTCACATTAAAAGAGAGAAAATAAGATGGACGGCTGAGTGTGGTGGCACATATCTTTAATCACAGCGTTGGGGAAGAAGAGGCAGGCAGATCTGAGTAAGTTTGAGGCCAGTCTAGTCTACATCTCTAGCCAGAGCTAGAGAGTGAGATCCTGCCTCAAAAAAAAAAAAAAAAAAGAAAGAAAGAAAACAGACAAATATGGAAATGAGGGAGGGCAGGAAAAAAAGTTGTTTTTCAAAATAAAAAACCTGCACCTTGAAAGGACACCGTTTAAAGAATGAATACACCAGGACATTATGAAAAGCACCACCGTGGTCTTAAGGTGCAAAGGCCGTCAGAGTCAGCTCGGCAGCCGTCAATCAGGGTGATGGCCTTGAACTTGACAGGAGCTGATAAAAACTGGGCTTCCTCGGTGGCCAGGCCCTC